CAGCGGTGGGGCAAGGACCCAAGTTAGCAGCAGCAGTCTATCCCCTGGGATACCTTGGGATGGATGCGCCTGTTGCAAACATTATGCATCATCTCCCTGGGGAGCAAACAGAGATGATCTGCCTGGGGGGGGGGTGGAATCTTTGTTGTTGAGGTTTGCAGCTGACATTTTGGAAGCAGCGAGGTGGCGCCAGCCAAGAGGCAGATGTTCAGAACCTGCCTCTCAATCTTCTCTGACATTTCCCTTCCCTCGCGACTCCTCACCCCACCCTCGACGGAGGAGATGTGACGTGCAAAGTGACAGTTGGCCAAGTGCAAACACACAAAGGGTAGTATGCACTCGGGATAGCTCCTTTCCTTTCTGTACCCATCTTCTCATCTGAGAAGACATCACTAGCGTTTGCCACCATGGAAATGTCAAGGAAATAGCATGAGACACAGATGCTCTGTGCTCTGCCTCTCTTGTTCCTTTATCCCTGCCCATGTGTGTTCAGCTTTGAAAGAATTAATTAAAGCCCTGCCAATGTCTCGCTGGAAGCACTTTGAAAGCCCCTGTTTGAAAAACTGTTCTCCCCCTCGCTCTCTATTTTCTGCATCCTTGTCCTTTTCCCTGCTCTTTATTTCTGAAAGGTATTTGTATGAAAAGGGGATCTTTGTTCCTTTAAGTGCAGTTGCACATTCGGAGTGGCTGTAAAACCAGCTTTGTTGGCATTCCATACTTATTGTCTCCCACTGGTTCCGGAACCAATGGGCTCAATTTGCGAAAGCAAAAAAAGGTGGGTTTTTCTAGCTGCCACCACTCAAACTCCACCCAGGTGTGGGAAGTTTGGCTGGGTTCTTTCCTCCTCCTTCAGCCTCGGAGCCAGAGATGAAGAAGATTCTACAGATGGAACTCGCTTCATGAGTCTGTTGTTGCACAAGCAGAATAGAATTCGGCTGGCTCTCCTGGTAGGTGGGCTGCTTCTACATGACTGATGAGTGATTTTTGTCAGTGAAGTAAGCAAATCATGATGAATGGTCAAGAGAAGGTAGACAGGGAGAGTCTGCTAACACAAGAACAAAGGGACAATCAGTGAAACCATAAATAGATTCCTAGGTCAGAAGGGATCTTTAAGATCATCTAGGCAAATTTTCTCTGTAACATGGGTCATAGTTACTTTTCATTTCTGCTGCCCCAGGATTTAAACCCGGGACCTTTGGCATTATAAAGCAAGACCATAACCCTATGCAACAGGTGTAACAAAGCGGCCTTTGGCGGGACACGACTGAGAGTATCAATTTAGGACAAATTGCTTAGAGCAGGGCTGTCACAGCAAGACTGGGGGTCCTTCACTACTAAGGCACACCAAACCAGCCAAACAGAGAGGACTTTGTTTTTTACCACACTGGCTAACCAGAAGCAATTCCCTCAGTCACTCCAGTTTCCCAGTATCACCACCAGCACCACTCCTTATGGGGATGAATGGTCATGAAAACCAATACCCCAGTAAAAGAAAAAAGGTTCTCCCGATCCCAAAGGACCAAGTACCAGATCCAGGTCAATATACAAGTCAGATCTTACCCACAAATCACGCTGTTGCCAATCTTTTAGAATCTAAAATCTAAAGGTTTATTCATAAAAAGAAAGAAATATAGATGAGAGTTAAAATTGGTTAAATGGAATTAAATACATACAACAATGTTAAAGTTTTTAGTTCAGGCTTGTTGGGATTACTGCTGATTTAAACCAATCAAGTCTCTGGAGTACAAACATCCCAGCTTGGATGGGTCGTTCAGCTCTTTGTTCAGAGCTCCAGTTTCAAGCACAGTTCCTCCAGCAGTTAGAAGCAGGATTGAAGACAAAATGGAGGGGTTTCCAGGGCCTTTTATATCCTCTGCCATGTGGAGGGACCCCTTTGTTCTTACTGTGGAAAGTAACAGCAGCAAGCTGGAGTTTGGAGTCCCATGGGTAAGTCAATGCATGACTCAGTTTGCTGGTGGCAGCCATTGCTCGCATGCTACCTTGAACGTTCCTAGGAAGGCTCCTTAGATGTGGATCAGAGTCTCCCAATGTCCATTGTCAGTTAAGTGTTTCTTGATTGGGCACTTACTCAGAATAGTCCTTTCTCAAGAAGCTGACCAAATGCTTCACTGATGCTACTTAGAATCAAACACATTGAGATACAAGTACATAGCTAATATTCATAATTCAAATACAAAAATGATACACACATACAGACAGCATAATCCTAACCAACAAATTACAACATTTTCATAGACACCTTACTTGACCTCCTTTGTACAAGATTTGGTGCAATTATAGGACCTTGGTTGCAACAATGATCTATGCGGTCACAGTTCATGTCAATAATGTCACATTAATAGATTCCTAGGTCAGAAGGGATCATTAAGATCATCTAGTCAAATCGTCTGTGTAACACGGGTCATAGTTATTTTTCATTTCTGCTGCCCCAGGATTTAAATCCGGGATCTTTGGCAATATAAAGCAAGACCATAACCCAACACAACAGGGCCAGCCATTTTCTTTGCTTCTGTGGCAGATTAGGTGGGATTTGAACCTGCCGCCACTAGCGTACACAACAAAAAATGTTCCATTGCTCCACCAAATTAAAAGGGCAAATTTATAACTGATAAAATGAAATACTTTTTTCCACAAAAATTTGACTGTATCATTTGATTGTGGAACTCTCTGCCACATGAAATTGTTGAGGCCAAGATCTTAGCTCGTTTCTAAGAGACTGTTACGTCTAGATGGATAACAAAAATATGCAAAGTTATCTTAGTTAATGCTAACAAATTTTGGAAGGGATAATATGCCTGGTACTTCAGCCAGTTTCTGTCTGGTAGAGATCAGTATAAATTGTAACGAGGGGGCAGATTATTCCACAGCTGTTGTGTGGGGTCTTATCCCTTCCTGTGGAGCAGCTGGCCACTGTTGCAGACAGGACACTGGACCTCTGTTCTGATCCAGTCTGGCAATCCCAATGCTCCTAAGTGCAGGTTGCCCTTGGGGGGCTATTAACTTCGGTAGTGCCCCTTTAACAGTGCATTAGTGTTATGGAATAGACGTGGAGCCTTCTGGCCTGTTTGCTTGCTACATGAACCTTCCAGGGCTGATGTGGGACCCTGGTGACGTTGCCATCTCGGCACGCCTGGTGCCATTTCAGCTGTCTGGCTGCTGGGGTGGGGTGGGGAGAGCGACTTGCCCTGCGAAGGACCCAGGGGAGGGAAGGAATGCGGAGGATGCTCTCTAGGATTTGTCAGGATGGATTCCTGCAGAGCAGCCGAGGTGCACGTCCAGGGTCTGTTCTGTTGAGGGCAGGTGCAATCCCATAGACACTCGGAAGGTGTCACAAGTGGTGGGTCAGTCTTGAGTGTAGAATTTGCAGGGCCCTGCCAGGCAGAACCAAAGCAGGGTGATGTTACATCTTGGTTGTGGCTTAGCAGCTTCAGCACAAGGTTGGGGAGCCAGGAGCTCCTGGGTTCTAGCTCAGTGTCTTAGAATCATAGAATATCAGGGTTGGAAGGGACCTCAGGAGGTCATCTAGTCCAACCCCCTGCTCAAAGCAGTCTCTGATAAGGACTCTTCTGTGGCCTTGGGTGAGTCAGCTAGGAGACCGTCGTTACAGCCTGTCAGTAGCAGTGGCCTGTCACCCTGCACGGAGGCAGTGTCACAGCAGGCTGTGCACGTTACAATGGCATGATGCAGTCCTGCCCTTATGGTGCCCCACAGGACAAATACAAAGGGCTGGAGACTGCACAGCCTAGTGTGACTGGTGTGTCCCTCTGCGGTGGGCTTGGAGTGAGGAGGATGAAGGTGGCGTGAAGTGCAGTCATGCTGGCCTTGTGCATTAGTGGGTTCACATGCCACAGCATGCATCATTCAGTGCATACATGACTGTTCGCTTATACAGCATGTGTTCATGTACCAGTATCTGCAGGCAGAAATGTGCATATGTGACGTGTGTTCCAGTATGTGTTCACGATGTGGTGCGTGCATGGAAGCAGAAGGAGCACACCTTGGAAAGCAGATGCCAGCGATCGGAACTCCCCTGGGTCTAGGCCCCTTTGGAGCTCTCCAGACCTGTCCTCTCCAGGTGTCTGCTTGGGGATGCTGAGCCTTGTTAAGCCACTCAGAGAGCACTGCTCCAGATGGCAGCTTTGCTATAAATAGGGGAGCTGGTGGCGGGAGAGCCTTTGTTTGGCAGCCAGGCATCTGTGTCACGTCATACTGATTGGTGGGTGTCCTCTACACTCTGAGGAGAGGGGATCACGCTTACCAATCGCTGCTTCAGCCAAGGGCCTAGCTCTGCACTGGGATGGGGAGAGGAACTGCCATAGCACCAAAGCATAGCACCAAAGCATCACAGTTAGGACAGGACAAGGCTCTGTGTCTGGGATCACAGGGTCTGCTGCCTGACCAGCTACCAGAGGCTAAAATTGCCTTCTCTGCAGGCCCCTGCTCAAGGAGAGTCCTGTACACACAGCTGTACACACAGCCCCGTCAGACAGACTCAACCTGCAAACAGCCTCCCCCCTTTCCTGTTAGCTGCGGATGAGCCATTATCCCCAGCAAGTTCCTGCCTGTTTCATCTGTATCAGAGTATGCATGCCCATCACTGTTGCATATAAATGCTTCCCTCCCCTGTTCCCACTGCAGGTGCATGGGCTCCTGAGAGCTGGAATCGGGCTCTCTCCTCTGCTCAGTCCTCCCTGCTTCAGATAATGAATGGGGTTCCAGGGCTAAGATAGCAAGAGGGGCTGTGGGCCAGGATTGAGGAGCATCAGCAAAGCTGTGGGGGCAGGGCAGGGCTGGGATAATAGGGCTGCAGATTCAGACCTAGGGGCATTGGCAGGGTTGGAATAGCCAGAGCGCTGTGGGATGGGGACTATCCGTAGAGCTGGGTCTGAGAGCCTCCTCTACCTACCCATCCCCATTTTCTCAGTGATTTCTCTGCGCACCTCCGGAGGCTTCATGCACACATGGCTTTTGTTTTTCAGGGATGGAGGAGCAGATTGAGGATGATGGAGAACCCAAAACAGGTTGGTGAGATCTCAAAGCCCACATTCTGTGTAGATGACCAGGGTGGAGGCTGGGGCACTGAATTTCATGTTGGGGCTGGGATTGCTAAAGGAGAAACCAACGTGCATGCTGGGAAGGTGGGTTCTTGTGTTCCCACCCCAGCCTCCTGCATGAGTTCCAGGGGGCACCCTGTGGAGGGGGCTGGAATGGGTGGGTGGGTCTAATTCCTCCCTGCACCTTCCCACTGGTTTCTGTGCTGCCTGGCTTGTTTCTTATTGTCACCTGCTCAGTCTTAGCTAGGGTTGCCGGGCATCTGGTTTTCAACCAGAACACACAGTTGAAAATGGACCCTGGTGGCTCTGGTTAGCACTGTGACTGGGCCACACACAGTTCTTGCTCTTAAACAGTGACCCTTGCTGGGTCAGCTACACCCAATGCTGACCTTGTGGTCAGCAGGAAGTAGTTTCCCTAGTGCAGATGAGACAGGGTATGTTCTTGCATGAAACTCACAAGAGTATTAAGGAAAAAAGGAGCCCAGCCCTGAGTCAGAGAATATGTCTGACCCGGAAGATGGAGCCGATGTGCCACAGCCTGGGTGTGCACACAACATATCATGAACACATACTGAAACACACATGTCACATATGCACAGTTCTGCTTGCATATACTGGTATATTCATACATGTTGCGTAAGCAAACAGTCATGTATGCGTTGAACGATGCACGCTGTGGCATGTGAACCCATTGATGCACAAGCATGTGCATACACAGAGTGGTGCACACTTGCATGTGCACACACTGATGCATGAGCATGCGCACACAGTCGTGCATGAATATAAAGGCATACGCACACATACACATGCTAATGCATAGTGTCGCACACTCTTCCATGTGCACGTATGGATGCACAAGCATAAGCACCCAGTCGTGCATCCAGTTAAGAGCACAAGCTCGCACATATACATACTAAGGCATGAGCATGTGCACACAGTTGTCCATGTATATTGCATACATGCAAACAGATACACTTGCATATACAAACACATTGCCAAGTATGTGCATACAGTTGTGCATGTTTGTCATAAATATAAAGGGAAGGGTAAACCCCTTTGAAATCCCTCCTGGCCAGGGGAAAACTCCTCTCACCTGTAAAGGGTTAAGAAGCTAAAGGTAACCTCGCTGGCACCTGACCAAAATGACCAATGAGGAGACAAGATACTTTCAAAAGCTGGGAGGAGGGAGAGAAACAAAGGGTCTGTGTGTCTGTCTTTATGCTGTCTTTGCCGGGGATAGACCAGGAATGGAGTCTTAGAACTTTTAGTAAGTAATCTAGCTAGGTATGCGTTAGATTATGATTTCTTTAAATGGCTGAGAAAAGAATTGTGCTGAATAGAATAACTATTTCTGTCTGTGTATCTTTTTTGTAACTTAAGGTTTTGCCTAGAGGGGTTTTCTATGTTTTGAATCTAATTACCCTGTAAGGTATCTACTATCCTGATTTTACAGAGGTGATTTCTTTACTTCTATTTACTTCTATTTCTATTAAAAGTCTTCTTGTAAGAAAACTGAATGTTTTTTTCATTGTTCTCAGATCCAAGGGTTTGGGTCTGTGGTCACCTATGCAAATTGGTGAGGCTTTTTATCCAACATTTCCCAGGAAAGGGGGGGTGCAAGTGTTGGGAGGATTGTTCATTGTTCTTAAGATCCAAGGGTCTGGGTCTGTAGTCACCTAGGCAAATTGGTGAGGCTTTTTACCAAACCTTGTCCAGGAAGTGGGGTGCAAGGTTTTGGGAAGTATTTTGGGGGGAAAGACGTTTCCAAACAGCTCTTCCCCAGTAACCAGTATTTGTTTGGTGGTGGTAGCGGCCAATCCAAGGACAAAGGGTGGAATATTTTGTACCTTGGGGAAGTTTTGACCTAAGCTGGTAAAGATAAGCTTAGGAGGTTTTTAATGCAGGTCCCCACATCTGTACCCTAGAGTTCAGAATGGGGGAGGAACCTTGACAATGGTGTACACATGGACTGTTGCAAACACACACATTGATACATGAACATGCGCATAGTCTCACACAGAAGTGCACTGTCGTGTGCATGATCACACACATGCCAACACAGCCAGTCTCACGTTGGCGCCTGTGCCCTCTCGCACGACTCTTTGAGGCAGGCCAGCTGGCTGTCAATGAACCCCTCCAAGCTGTGAGCAGACTGGCAGTTTCGCAGGGCCGAGATAAGCTGTGTTATCTTTTAATAAAAAGTGATAGTGGCGCTCTGCTTTACTCAAATGAGTTAATTATATGCCTGGTGATTCCCTTTATCTGCTCTGAGCACAACAATAGCTTTGTTGTATACAGATTGGCTTGCGCCTAATCTCTCCTTGGGAGAGAGCGCACTCCCAACGCAGACTTCTTGATGTTTGTAGCTGCCTGTGAGATTTAAGGGCTGGGGCTTTGATTGGTGGTGGAAGTTGGCGAGTGTAATTACTGTGGAAGGCTGATAAATGCTATGAACTGTTAAATGGATTTTTTCCCCCTACCTTCATTAGTGGTGGGAGATAAACCATACAGCCTCCCCTCCTCTAGCCTAGTCCTTTCTCCTAACCCCCCAAACCAACAGGAGACTGATTTCAGATCTCTACTATAAATTTCAGCAATTAATTTCCAGAGCCTCAGTGTCAGAATTTGGAAGCTGAAGGATATGGTAGCATAGCCTGGTATTTGTCCTCTTTTTTTCTTTTCATATTGTGGCAGTAGTTTCTATAGGGGGGGTTTGTGTGTGGGGAGATCATAGTCAGAACGAAGCACCCTGTCCCTGCCTGATCAGGAAATTCACTTTTGTTAAGCGCTGATGCCAAGAGCTGCCCAGAGGAAGCCATGTGCAGGCTACAGTCACCACCAGTGTTTAGCAAAATCAGCTCCGTATCTTGAGTGCCATATCTATTAATGGGCTAGTTACTAGAGCATTCCTGAAACCGCACTCAGATGTTGCTTTCGTTACAAATTACAGGGGTTGAGTGGAGGGGAAGGGAGATCTTGGATTTTACTATCATTCAAAGATATGGCTGGGTCTCTGTCCATTTCCTAATCAGTAGGCATCCCCATCACAATCCCACTACTAATAATTGACACTGATAGCAGACTAAATTAAAGAAGCCAAGGACTGAGCAGACAATGGATTTCAAACTCTCCACTCATGCCTAGGGGTGGTGTCTCCAGAATTGGACTCTGGCTCATAAAAGAGGGGCAGCTTTGGGTATGTAGAGAATGTGATCTCTAGGGCAGTCAGGCCAGGGGCTCTGCTCAGTGTCCTCTGGGTCCCTTGTTTTGATTGTCTGACCTGTACTCAGTTGAGGTCTGGGCTCTGTTGCCTCTCTCTCATGTGAGGGGGCAGGCTTTTGTTGTTCTCATGGACTCTGCCCACCGACCTGGGATTCAAACAGGCAGGATCACAAACAGGGGGAGCAGGCAAAGACAGAGTTTGCAAAACAATTAAATCGGGTTGTTTGGCTCCTTGATCAGAGGCAGCTCAGATGCGGCAGTGAGTCCCGGGCAGGGCAGCCAGGGCCAGCAGAACCGGCTGGGCAGGACTACATCACTGGGGAGGAAGAAAAGGATCCATTTGGGGTGGAGGAGAGCTGGGAGGAAGAGCATGTCCAGGATGCCCTGACGAGTTGGTGGATCTGGGCCCAGTGTGGTTGAATGCTCTGCTGCTCTAATGCTCTGTTTGCTGCATGCTGTGGTCCCAGGCCTGAGTTTGACAGAATTCTCTCTTCTCAACAACAGCTTTGCAGCCTCTGAAGACCCCAGAGAACAAAGAAGGTAAAGGGCATTTCTTCTCTTCTTTTGCACTCGCATACAGGGTCTCTTGCAACAACTACACAGGCTGGCAGACCCACTGGCTTCTGTACCCTTAAACCTCTGAAACCTAACTGCTATTACAGCCAACTGGCTGTTTAGCTCAGCAGGGACAGTTGGAGATCTGAGCTGTTGGTTATCTAAAAACAGCAACCCAAAGCCTAATGCAGAACCCCAACCATCTGCTGGATGCTTTGTGTATCTGGGATTTAGATGATTGTTTTCTGCCCACTCTTCTGATTTCTAGATTTGCTCATCTCCATGGTGTTTGCAACTTCTCCCAGTTTGGTGTCAGCTGTGTATTTCATTAGCACCCTGTTGGCTCTCACTGCCAGGTTGGCAATGAAGGTGTTAATTAGACCAGATTGGATTCGGAGGCCATAACCCCCCCACAACAGATCCCTTGCTGTTTAATTCTACCCTTTGTTTGTGGTTTCTTGGCCACTTTTCAGTTCACATCAATGATTTTATCCCAAGCCAATCAGGTTTTTGCTAGATACAATATTAACCGCATTAATAAAATCCAAGTGTATTTTATTGATATCTACTGCATTCCCCTCGTCCATTGATTTTGTAATTCTCCCAAAAAGAGCAATCAAGTTTGCCAAGATTTATTCTTTCCCAACATCCAGCGCAGTTTATTGCTCATGCATCCATTATGCTCTAGCTATTTATTGACTTTTTCTTTTAATTTCCATCATTTCACCAGTGCTAGAAGCTGGGCTAATGAGACAGTAATTGCCAGAATGATTCATTCATTCCTTTTTGCTGAGAACATCCTGGCTTCCCAAGTTCTCTGCGATACAGGCAATCATTTCCCAGGTGCACTGCGGAGGAAATGGCCAAAAGGCAACCAGATGCCCAACTCAGTGAAAATCTATGGGAGTTGGGCACCTAACTCCCATTTATGCCTTTGAAATTTCTCCTCCCTTCTTCCCCTGATTAATTAGCTGGTTGCTTTAATATCCTAGGGTCCAACTACCTTGGGTTGCACATGCAGATTTCCTTCTCAGTCATCAAAATTTATTTCTTTTGGTGTTAAAGGCAGATTTTCCTAAAGCAGCTTGGGGTCTCAGCTATTGTTAAGTCATGGTTAATTTCACCCCCTCTCCTCCATTATTAATGGCCCTGCTTTCTCTCTAGTGCTGCGTTTTTTCCTTCTGGATTTATAAAAACCTTTTCTTACTCCTCTTCACTCCGTTAGCTAGAGCATTATCTCAATCTGCTTTCTCTTCCTCCCCTTGCTGCCCTTATCTTTCCCCTGCAAGCCTAAACAGTCTGTGCTTGTTGTCATTGCCTCCTCACTTTTCATCTCCAAGCCAGATTGTTTGCTTAACCCCACAGCTTTGAGGAATCCCTTTGCATCCTTCCTTGCTGCTTTTTTTTTTTTTAGCAGAAATGTAGTATGAATAATGGCATCTCCTAGGATTCTCCAGCTGATGAGGGTTTTTCAGTGCTGTACAATGAGCTTTGAAAACACACTCTCTCTCAACATGCACACAGGCCTTGCTGTGTAGGCAGGCTCAGCCTCTGGGAATGAGGGGGGAAATCTCTCAGCCTTTACTCTCTGCACTTTGGCAGCCCAGACCTTTTGCAACATTGGCTTTGTCTGACAAACCACCCCACCCTGATGATCTGACCACTCCTGCTTCCCTGTCTCTATGCCTTAGTGTAAGGAGAAGTTCCTGTGGAATATGGCTGAGTGAGACTGGCTGTTTAACCATTACATTGCCGGACAAATCAATGCTTAGGGAAACCCATCAACACAGCCTGCAGACACTCGATAGCAGAATGTTGGTTAAAGTGAAAGGTAGTGCTGGCTCAATGCACCATAAATAGGGCACTTTGTATTGTAATTATTATTCCCTTTAGGTGTATATGACTTTAAGGGAAGCTGGGGTCTCCAACAAGCATAGAGATTGGTGCCCTCCAGCACTGGGTGCATCATAAGGATTAGGCCTGTGTGAAGCTTGCAGGAGGCATGGGGTCCTCTGCACAGCTGCCTGGAGCTCTATTCCTACCTGTGTTCTCATTTTCCCTACGTCCCGGGTGCGCTCTTGGGTTCCTTGCATCTTGAGTCAGTCATCACAGGGGGGAGTGTTCCCACTGTGGCACTGCACTCCAAATTAAAGATGTCACTTTGTTGTAAACGTATTGGAGTTGTTCCAGTGTTGTGTGGGAGGAGGAAGGATGGCCAGGTGCTTATGGCCCGCACCACGGATCTGAGCTCCTGGGGTCTATTTCAGCCTCAATCACTGTGTGAACGAGGACAAGTCTTTTACTGGCTTTGTGCCTTGGTTTCATCATATGTAATTAGACAGTAATAGCACCTCCTGTGGGGCTATATTCATCTAGGTTTATAAACCCCTTTAAGTTCCATGGCCTGCAGCAGCAATGGGAGAATGCAATATTGTTGTAGTCCAGAAAACCAGCTCTAACCGAGAAGGCATGGGAGCTGGTGACCAACCTTCCTATCCTCAGACCTGGTGGGCCTGCGAGCACGTGCCATGCACAGTTCTTAGTAGTCCAGCCTTTGTTAGTTGGGCACAGCAGTGAGTCCATGGACATGTGTCTATGCTTGTTTAGGGACTGTGCTTGCTCACCATACAGAGGCAGCTAACTAGGGGATTCCAGCATGAGCACAAGGGATGAAAATCCCCCAACAAACCCAGTGGCAAACCCACTAACAGCCACGACAAGAAGAGAAGGGTCTGTCCTACCTACCGAGCAGTGTCTGCGTGCTGCAGGGCTGCTGTCAAAGCTGGCAGCCTGCCCGTGCCAGCCTGCTGGCTGAGCTCGGCCAGAAAGCTGCTTACCCAGGACACTGGGTACAAGCCACCTTGTGCCAAAGCCATATTTTTAAGCTACTGCCGGTTGTAAATCATTCAAACAAACAGCCAACCATTAAAGCAACACAAAGCAGATTCGGGGGGAGGAGCAAGGTGCTTTGCTCGGATGCAGATTAACGTCATGGTTGGGCAGCATTTCTGCTAGCTGGAAGCAGTGATGGGGGTTGCTCTCCAGCTCATGGGAAATCAGCTGATACATGCCAACTGCCCCTCATCAGCTCAGGCAAAGCAAGGGCCTGCCTGGGAGCCCTGCATCCCATGCAAACCCTGAAACTTGGGGGCTGGCCAGAGACTGAGGGGAAGATCATCCTGGGCTTCTGCAAGCCCCTGCAGAGCAGAGATGACCTTGAGTGTTATGGTCACGCCAGAAAGGTCCCCACACTGTTAATCCCATGGATGTCAATGTGTCCACTTCCAGAGTAGGGCTCTGTCCAGTATTAAGAAACCCCAAACTTCATCAGAGGTTTGTAAATACTGGATCTGATTCTGCTCTCACTTACTCCAGTGCAGCTCCAGTGACTTCAGTTCATTCACCAGCGTGAGCAGAACTGGGCCATCATTTCATTGCTTCCTGGTTTTGTGTCAAGCATGAGATCCCAGTGTATGGAGGGGAAGGTTGTGGGCAGGGACCGCAGCATGTAGAGTCGCATAATGTAACACCACCCTGCTGGGGCTGTCTGCAGGGATCAGACTCTGGGCAGCTGGATTGAAAGAGCATGTGCTGCTACGGCTGGAACGAAAGAAGCAAAGCTGCCAGGGCCCGCAGTAAAAGGCTCTTCGGCCTGTGTGTGGGGACGAGCCACTAGAGAGGGACAAAGACCTACCCCGTTCTAGCCTGGGCATACTGGTCTGGGGCCATAGGATGGAGGGCATTTAAATGACCATGTAAAACTGAAGCTCTGCGCAACAGCCTCCAGATTATCCAATTTCAGGCCTGTGGAGCCTGATCCGGAGAGGTGCTGAGCATCTGGAACCCACATTGACATCGAGGGGCGTGCCAGGAGCTGAGCATCTCCCAGGAGCAGGCTCGCGACCACTCTGAGATTACGAATTTTCGCTTTGTAAGTGAATCCAGTGGTGAGGAGGGAGATCGGGCCTGGAGTCGGAAGCAGGCCCAGGCTGGACAGCAGTGGTGCAGGCTTCTCCATGCTTACCTGCCTGGGCAGGTTCACCTTTAGGTTGAAGAGAGGAACTTGGCCTCCATGATGCCCCCAGCCCAGGCTGGCAGCGGGGAATCACTGGGACCAGTTGTGGTGTGGGAACCAGGTTACTGAGAACTGTCCTGAGACACCAACGCATTCCATGCAGGCCGCTGCAAAGCTGCCACAGGAGAACAGCTTGTGGGCACTCCAGCCCACATGGGGTTTGAACCCACAGCCTCATTACTAAAGGCTGTATCTCCTAGGCATGAGGCACTTGCTCCCAGGTGGGGTTGTTCACATTCAGGAGTACCATCCATGCCTGCAGTGTAAACAGCCCTCACAGTGGACTGGCCACACAATAGCTGCTGCCTTTGCCAGTGCAGTCACTGCAGTGCCAGCGTCTAATGCTCCGTAAAGCACTTGGAAATGCGTGGCATTTTGCAGGAGGTGCACAACCGTGCTCTCTGTGCTGGCCTCCTGGCGGTCCCTGTGTGGTAGGAGAAGTGTGGATTTTGATGCAGTAAAAGCACCGTGCTGGTCAGACAAGCCCTATGGCACATCACCTGCCTTGATGAGAGTGCTGGAGGAAAAGCTTTATGGCCCTGCAGCATGAGCTCTGGATCCACAGTGTGCCATGGTATGATAGCAATACTCTCCGCTCCCTGAACTCTTCTCTCCTGAGGCTCTCCGGAGAGCGTTGGAAAGGGGAATGGAGGAAGTCTCCTTACACTCGTGGAAGGAAAGTGTGAATATCCCCATTTTTCAGATGGGTGAAGTTACAGGGTCTTCCAACACAGCAGTGAAGGAGCCTGGAATTTCTCTTGTGAGTCCCCTGCTCTATCCACTAGACTCTGGGATATTCTCTCAGTGGGGGTCACAACGCAGCAAGCTACCCAATCCTTCCCAGATTGCTCAATGAAAGAGAGTCCCATAGGGATGGGAGGGAGCTCCTAAGGGGCTCCTGCTATGGAAGAGGGACCATGGATGGGATAGAACACATACCACTGCATTAGATCCCACTTCATTCCCCGTATCATGCTCAATGCAACAGTTCCATGCCCTTCAATGCATGCATCTTACAGTAACTAAAACCTACCTCAGTCCCTTCCTGTGCCCGCGGGGAATGCTAAGTGAGTTGTCTGTATCCTCATGGAGACTCGTAAAGCATTTTCTCCATAAATTATTCATCCGGTGCCAACCTTAGCAGAGCATGAGTGATATAAGCATGAACCCCAGGGCACCGGTTGAGCTGCTGTAACTTTGAATGGTCATTTATTGAAATGGGTGATTTGATGGATTTATCTTTCTTTTTTTTTACTTTAAATATCAGCCATTTTGCTATATTGGGCTGGTCGAGGTTTTCCTGACAATTTTTGTTAACTGGGATGAGGGCAGGAGTGTGAGCTAGTGGCTGGTGCACAGGACTGGGTTTTTTTGAGTTTTTGGTGGAAAAAATCAATATCTGAAGTATTTTGTCGAAAAGCTGAAATACTGTGATTCTGAAATGCCGACCTAGTGGCGCATGGGAATTGTAGTTCAGGTACTTCATGTCCCCATTCTCCTCTATAGGTTGGAATCCCTGGTTGAACTACCTGATGAGGGGAGGGGAGGTGATCCATCATGGCAGTGGTGTAGCCGCAGGGCATCATGGGAAATGAAGTCCACCCATAGAAGAGAATGGGAATACAAGCATCCAAACTACCATTCCCATGAAGCAGTATGATGGCATTTCACAATTAAAATATTTTGGCTTTCTGGCGTTCATTTTTTTTAAATGAAAATTTGAATTTTTCTATGGAAAATAGACACTTTGTGAAAACTTTCACTACGTCGAAATCCCAATTCTGCATCAAAAAAGTTTCAACATAAAATTTCCCACCAGTCCTATTAATCACCTAACATTCACCCAGTAGGCTGAATCTTGTGAAAACTGGCCCCTTGTATGGATTGTGCCCTTTGACCCGCCTGGGAGCCATTCTCGGTTTCTCTGTATTCTCTGTTTCTCTCACCTTGTCCCCTCCCCCCGCATAAGGTCAGTGGATTGATTATTCACTTTTCTTTCACTTTCAGGCAACGAACAAGAAATTGACTGACAGGAAATGGAGGAGACACAGAAACAATGCCACATGCCACAGACTAGCAGCCTGTCCTCTCGGACCATTGTAGCCTCCTGGGGGATGTCCTATAGGAGACACTGAACATCCCATCGCCTGTGCCACCATTGCTACATACCCTGGCCATGAAGGACAGCAGCTTCAGCCTGTTTTCTCTGTTTGCTTCACCATAACCATCTCCCCCACCAACACACACACACAGGGTAGACGCGACAGTGTTGCTATGTAGGGCTCGCTTCCTCACGGGGCTGGATACACTTTATTCCCAGGAGTTATTGTCTTCCTGGCCCAAGCAGCCCAAAGGGGCCTGATTCTCCATTGTCCTGCACCTTGGGTGCTCACTTCTACCAGTGCAAAGTGGGTGCATAGTGCTCCCAATGGTGAGCATTTGCACTCACGCTGCCCTGGTGGAAATGACTGCACAAGATGCAGGGCAGTGGAGAGTTGGGCCCAGGATGTGAAGGGCCCTTTCTTGTAGGTGATTAACTTAGAGATCAGTGGGATTACTGCTGCTTTTAAGGTTAAGCAGGCGCTTAAGTGCTCTGCTGGATGGGTTGGAGGGCTCTGGCCCCTTGTGAGATTGAACCCTCCCTGCACAGGAGGTGCAGCCAGCAGAATCTGAGCAGCCAGGAGGGATGCAGTGGGGACTCTTGTCCTGTGTCAAACGTGTGTGTGGGCAGGTGGGGTGGGTGGTAGGGTGGGCAATATCTATGGTTAAGGGGATATTTGGTTATCAGTGCCCCATTACAGCACCAGCTCTTGGTGTCTTGGCCCTTGTAGCATGTGACTAACGTGAGAGCCAGCTCTATGGCTCCATGGATGTCCCTCCTCCCCACTCCCCACTTCCAGCCATCCTTCCCCCGCTCTCACCACAAAGCAGGCTCCACTTATTCCCACACCCCAAATTCAGCTTCTAAAGCAGGCGGACAGGGGGGAGGGGATGGGACCAGGTGTCCATGTCTTTCAGAAGATCCTAAAGACAGAGGCTCTGAGTATCCTTGTGCCCTCCTGTCTGTCTTTCCTGTCCTGCACCTGGTGCCTGATGCCTAACCACAACTGCTCTCCTCCATTCAACCAAGGGGAGCCTGCTGATCGTTGGACCATCCTCCCCCCAAGATGCCTTCATGGACAAGGTTCAACAACCTCCAAGAGGCAGGCCTGTGGAGGTGGACAATGGGCCCAAGAAAGTCTTTGAAGCTCCTTGGAGATGGACAGTGGGTCCAGGTGGCTGTAGAGATGGAGAGTGGCCTAGTATGGTTGTAGAGGCTCTGTGAGGATGGAGCTCATAGACTTAAGTGGAAGTGGTCCATGCTCTTGGTCCTGGCTATGGCAGAGGCACAGCTCCAGAGAGCGTCTTGTTATCTTTAATGTTGTACCACTGTCACCAGCATTTGTCTTTTGCCTTAAGCCCCTGGAGCCAGATCTGTCCCTGGCTTAATTCCATTGAGGTTGGTGGAGTTACCCCAGGGGTGGGTTTGGCCCAGAGGATTTTGTGGGGCAGGAGAGGGAGAGGAAACTTCATAGATCTCACCCCCCTGCCTTGGCCTTGCTTTAACAAAGAGTCAGGAAGTATCTGTAACTGGATGTTGTGCCTGCTTGGGCCAACGGTGAGGAGGGGAACTTGCAGGTCAGATGTGACCCTCGGCTACTATCTCCCGAGCTGCTTGCATCCCTGCTGGAGAAGGGGATGGGCATGAGCAGAGGCAGAGATGGATTCTCCCACGGTTTTTGCATCCCTGGTTGGGAGGGATGATCCACAATTTTCTGCAACAAAGCTATTCCCATTTCCTGCTCTGTCCATCTGTCCATCGGTTCCAGGGCCAGAGAGGCCAACGGCACCACCTCAGCTCCCTGTGAGGAGCGCTGGGTCAGGCACCTCAGTGAAGTTAAATGGGAGTTCCCCCATGGCTGTAGCTCTAACACACTGGCCAGTGTGTTCCTGGGCATCTGGTAGCCATTTTGAAGCCAAGGTTTCCCATGAGCTGATGCCTCTAAAGTATGTGTTCGGAGCCAGCAATCCTGAGGTGAATGGAAAATACCTGACTGAGCAGCATGGTACCTGGCTGTGACCCTAAGCTTTTCCTATCAGAAAGCGAGAAGCAAGGGGAAGCTAGGCTGAGAGAATCCAATGGACCATGGAGGCCCACCTGCCTTCTCAGCTCCACACATTGTTCATCTGAATCCAGAGAGAGGCCCCATGGTGGAGCAAAGCAGGGGATGGGTGCCAGGGCCTATCTGATGGACTAAAGGCTCTGGTTTCTGAGGCTACCATTGGCCCTCTCACCAGCACTAAAATCACTATGGGCTTCCCAGCTCTGTCGATGGGGGGTGGTGCGATTAACTTCACTGGGGATGCACTCGTATCCCAGTTGAGGGGCTATTATAGGGGGTGGTGGGGAGCACCTCCTATCATTAAGATTGCTGACACCTCCCTATATAAGACCCTGCTTTCATTTGTTTTATAGCTTTGCCAAGCTTTAGCTGTTTGGGCAGAGATTTTCCATGCCAGAGGTCTGCCTCAGGCTGAATGCATTTGGCAAATTTCAGCCAGAATGGCTTGGCCATTTCTGAGAAGGAGGCTAAGGGAAAGGACATTGTTTAGTCCACATTAAAAACAATTTGGGCACCCTTTTCTTTGAGCAGCTTTAGCACCCTGTGCTTTGGAGTGACACTTGAAATTTGGTGGGGGCATGGCCTCTGTGTCGGATGTGCCTGTTGCCACCCTGGTGAAAATCTGCCCACATTTGCTCAAATTTCTTTTTAAAATTGCAGTTTGCATGTGCCCAGAGACTTCAGTTTTACCAGCAAAAATCTCTGATGATTCCATCCTCACTGAGCATGCTCAAGGCTCTCTCAGCTCTTAGCGCTGACCAGACTCTGCATGTGCCATCCCCACAGAGCAGCTGTGCATGCTGCTGCTAGACTAGGGCTGCTGGGATAAAGCTGGGCCTGCCCTATGATTGCTGTTCTAGGCCAGGTGTGGCTAGGCACTAGAGCTGAGAGCAGAGAGGCTGTCTCTCCTGTGCTCTCAGGGCCCCCTTGCCTTGCTGGGATCCAGGCACTCTGGGGGAGAAAGCTGTCTGATGTGAGTGCAGAGGGGACAAAAGGTGGATCAAGACAAGGGAAGGAGTAAATTGGTGAATCTAGTGAGCCTGGGGTTGCAGGGGGGAGGGATACTGGGACTAGCGGGATAAGGAGGCTGGGACTGGCAACTGGGGGAGGGACTGGGAACCAGGGAGAGAAATGGGACAGGACTGGGAGCCAGTTGGCTGGGGTGGGTGGGGGACTGACACTGGCTGGACAGTGAGATTGGGATTAGGGACCAGTGGTGGGGGGCAAAGGAGGAGGACAACTGAGAAGGAGTTGGGATGTGGGAGGAGAATTGGGACTGCTTGGGCAAAGAGACAGGGCAAGGAGGGTGGGAAGGGGAGACTGAATTTAAATGAGCAGCCCAGGGAGGGAGATTAGGAGTGGGAGCCTGTGGGGGTGGGAAGAAGAGGGATCTCAGATGTGGAACTGGGAGAGGGAACTGGCTGGGAGAGGAGTTGGGGCAAAATGGGGAGAATTGTGATGGGGTGTGAGTGAGATTTGGGAGAGAGTTTGGTATTTGGAGAGCAAGCGGGGGGGTGGAGTGGGGGAGAGGGAGACTAATGCAGGCTGGACAAGGAGATGGGCTGGGATGAGAAGCCTGAGCAGTAAAGGCGACAGGGTAGGCCAGGAGAATGGGACTGGAACAAGGAACCAGGGCTGGGACAGAGACAGAAATAGGTTGTTGGGGAGAAGGGATCAAGCTTGGGAGCAATGATGGGAAGAGTCTGTGCCACTAGAGCCCATGCCCTCCAGAGCTGGATTGGAACCCAACTGAGGCTCATTCCTCTGCCATCAGCAAGCATCTGGCAAAGTGTGGATCTCATCCCCCTCTGAGCCACATAGAGGATGACAACCCACTACTGTTACCAGTTACTCCATGAGCTCCAGTGGCAGAGGTCTGTGGGGTGAATCTAACAGTTCCAGCCCTGCTGCTGATGCATATCGGTGTCAATATGCCACACAAAGGAATTCCTGATCTTTCAGTTTATTTTTTTAAAACTTTGGAAAATATGTGACCGCCTTGTGCATGTGTATTATGGTACAGTGTTTAATGACATGGTCACATACTGTTGTTTCCACAGGATCCCTTCCTGTTTCAGTGCACTGGCTAGACCTACTCTAGGAATTATAGAATCATAGAATATCAGAGTTGGAAGGGATCTCAGGAAGTCATCTAGTCCAACCCCCTGCTCAAAGCAGGACCAATCCCCAATTAAATCATCCCAGCCAGGCCTTTGTCAAGCCTGACTCAAAAAACCTCTAAGGAAGGAGGTTCCACTACCTCCCTAGGTAACCAGTCCAGTGCTTCACCACCCTCCTTGTGAAAAAGTTTTTCCTAATATTCAACCTAAACCTCCCACACTGCAACTTGAGACCATTACTCCTTGTTCTGTCATCAGCTACCACTGAGAACAGTCTAGATCCATCCTCTCTGGACCCCCCTTCAGGTAGTTGAAAGCAGCTATCAAATCCCCCCCTCATTCTTCTCTTCTGCAAACTAAATGAATGGAGTCTGCAGGACCCTGTCTCGTTTGTTGCTGAGGAACGGAGCTTCAAGAAGAGAAAGGCATGGGTCTCATGGGAAAGGCAGTTGAATGCTGCCCTGGACAAGTGGATTCTATTCCTGTTCCTGAGGCTGAGTCCCTGTGTGATGCTGGGCAAGTCAAACCAATTCTTAACAGGGGACCACTGACTGTGTTCCTCATTTTGGGGGTGCCTGACTGGAGACCCTGCGTGGAAGTGTTGAGCACGCCCTGCTGCAGCCGGTCAGTGAGAACTGTGATTGAATATAGAAAGTGCTATATAATGCTTGTCAGGCCCTAGGTGCCTCGTATTGGGCACCAAAATTAGTAGATACTTTTGACTTTAATCTCTTTGTGCCTCAGCTGTCCACCTGTAAAATGTGGATAATATCTCTCATCTCTCCAAGATGCTGGGGATGGGGGATTCGTTAATTTTGGTGAAGCACTTCGCTACTCTAATGATGAGTGCGGGAGAAAAGCCCATGAGGAAATGAATAATTCTGTCTCAGAGCAGGGTTTGAATAGTGGGCAGTAGATGGGGCATAGGGGCCTCACATGGAACAATGAGGCGAAAACAAAATATTGACTAACTGCCCATTAAGGGAACAGAGTCCACCGTGCATCATGATGGAAAAAACAGTATGAGATTGTGTAATTAAAGACTGTCATAAAGCGTACGCACCAGGGACCGAATTTAGATGGCCACGGTGGCCTTAATTCTGACATTTCCTAACTTTTGATGGCTTGACTTTGCAATCTAAATAGCTTCCTTTTAATGTAGCTTTTGTGCATAACAAAGACCTGTGCAGGCCACGGAATGTTTGAGTTAAGGGGCCTAAGATGGAATGTTCTGGCCCATAAAAGGAGCAGAGCCATTTAAGCTGTGCTCACAGCACCAGCGGAAACATAAAGGGACAGACCAAAGTCAGGGAGATGCCAGCATTGTCCAGCCAGCCTACCTTATGCACATTTTCTGATCCCTGGCTGCCTTCTTCACCCTCCATCCCTGCTTCTCACACTCAGGCCCAACCATGTTGCATTCAGATATCCTCAGCACTCGTCTCTGGCCCCACTCAGGCAGGGAGATACCATTGTGCTAGAATCAAGGTCTGATTTGGTATTTTTTTTAATTACTTAAATTCTGGAAGCTGGAGTATTTTGTGCCTTGACACATTTTGGGGGGAATAAATGCTTGGTTCTTTTTGACAAAGTTCCTGGGGTCTGGTGTGGTTTGTAGTATGGTTTGGTGTGCAGGCCCAGCAGTCCTCGTTGGCATAAGGAGAGAACATCAGCCGTAGAAAGACCTGAGTTGTAACTCAGTAGCTGGGGGATATGTATTTTCCTATGATCTACTGGGGGTTCTAGGAGAACCCAGCTGCCTGCTAGGGCCCTGCCAGAACCTGTGGACTTCCCTACCCTGGAGAACCTGGGACTCCTCTGTCAGCCCTATGTTAGGGAGAGGGGTGCGGGTCTAGATCTCTGGCTAGACCAAGAGGAGTCCCTGATGTCCTCATCCCATGGTAGGACTCATTGCCAGATGTGAACGGCGTGCAGACGTAGCCCTTTAGAGGCAGCCTCCACCCACATCCACTGTCAGGGATCCTCAGCTGCCCCATCCCAGCTGTTGGGGACACTCCAGCTCTCCAGCTCCAGTGGGTATTGGAGAGGCTAAAACTCCTTCCATTCAAACCTGCTGTGAGGGGTTCCCATATTAGAGGCACGGGCTCCTGCAAACGAGAGAGCCAGGTCACAGAAGAACTTCCCGCTTTCTGGAGCTGGGTGTAAAGAGGGGTCTTAGGTGTTACTACATTGCATAGTTCTGTCAGTAGTCAAGGCTGGAGCCATGTGGGGTTGTTTCCATCCTGCGTTCAACCTCAAGCCACTCTCCCCAGTCATTGTCCCAGCATACAAGAGGTACTCAGGGGCAGCACACACAAGTGCTAACCAGGCCCTGTGCACCCAGCCTGCAAAAGCTATCTCAGGTTCTCCTGTGGTGATGTCTTGCCCCTGGGAAGGTGCTGGGATTCATGCTGTGTCACTGAAGGGTTTGTACTCTGGCCATGAAGCCAACTTTTCAAGTGTTGAGGTCATGGGGGGCAGGTGGAGAGTGTATGGTTTAAGGATATCTGACATGCAATGGCCATGAAGCAGCCTGGGAGCCTTGGGGCACTTGCTAAAAGCACTGGGGTATGGATCCATTCAGAAAGTCCATCTCCACTGCTTCCCCAGTTCTGGAGTTTACAAGGTTCACCCACTAGTTAAGTCAATGGGGTTGCTCCAGATCTACACCACTGTAGCGAGATGCCACTGAAATCAATAGGGTTACACCAGATTAACAGCAGTGTAAGTGAGATCAGAATTTGGCATGATGGGTGTAAGCATCTCTCCTTAAGAGAGCTGGCTCAGATAATTCATTCAAAACATTTTTTCAGTAGGAATGGCTTTTCTGTCAAAATGACAATATCCATTTTTGATAATAATTTGGGGGTTTGATCAAAAAACTGGAAAAAAAAATTTCACATGTTGGCAATCAAAAGCTGAAAAATGTTGGCTGAAAACTGAAAGAATTCTGCTGAAAATTGAAAATGTTGGTTTGGACTAAAATTTTGGAGGTTCTGAAAACTTTGAAGAAAAAAGTGAAAACATTTTTCAGTTTTGTCAAAATTTGTCATGGAAACAAAACCCATTTTCCCCCAACCAGCTCTGCTCCCTGTATCCAGAGGTTACCAAAGATGGGAGTTACCGCCTTTTAAAATATGTGACACAGATTGCTCCTGAAGGACAAGGAATAGTGGAGGGAGGAGGAGGATGGAATGGTTGCTGGGAATAAACTGAGAGTCATATTTTGTATCATGTATCAAGTGTCTTCTAATCCCTGTTACATTCTGGCTCAGTATTTGCACCATGCATCATAGTAATAAGCAGCCGGACAATGGCAGGTGAGTGTGTGTGTAGCCCAAGATATATATAAATGAGGTTCTTTCTAAGGTTCTCCTAGATAGCCCCTGGGAACTTCTGAGTTCATGAGACAGCGTCTAACTGTGGTGGATGGGGCAGAATGAAATAGAAACCTCACCCTCTCCAAATGCCTACATGCGTTCTATTGATGTGTCCATATATCAAAGGGCATTGGAGCCTTTATCAAAGGCGTTAAGTATAGCACTCCATTAATCTGGCCTCAGGGTGGGAAGAGGTCCCAAATATCATTAGTAGGAAAGGGTATTTATATTAGACCATAATTTATCTACCCAAAGGAATCAGATGTGAGTTTGTGGGGCAGGTTGTATCATTGCTAGGCCACTTCTCAGTAAGTGCTATGTGAATGTGTTCTAACACAGGAGTCTCTGGGCCATGGTGCAGGGGATTGGAGGGCTGTGACTGTGATGAGATCCTGGGGTACAACCTGAAACTGGGGGATGGCTGTGCCCCCCTAGTTCTCCAGCCTGGGTTGTCTCTCACGATGATTTGCTAGTGACAAGCAGCAACCCCCTCCGGGAGCTATCATCACTCAGCCACCAGTATGGAGAGAGACACCCAGCTATATTGAACAAATGCTCTCCAAGACACTTGTGAACAGGAAATGGGAAACACCAGCAAATCTACCTGAGCCCCCAGCCTTGCACCCTATACCTGTACCGTCTTACACGGCTCAAGACCTCCTCTTGAACAATGCAAGATCATTAATTAGTTCTCCACTTCATCAAAGGATAATGGACCTGCACCAGCCTTTGTAATCAAGAACTTTAGACAAACTGACTTGGTTAAGATACACCATTAACATAAATTGATTAACCACAGAAAGACAGATTTGAAGTGATTGTAAGTGGTGGACATACAGGACAAAGATAGTTACAAAAGAAATAAAAGTAAAATCGCAGTCTAAATTCTGAACTTTATCAGACTAAGCAAGATTGGAATCAAACAGCTTTTCTCACCCCACTGGATGTTACAGATAGGTTATAATTCTTAATACACAGGCTGAATTTCCTTCTTAACCTGGGAACAATCTTCCCAGTTCAAAGTCTTTGTCTTTCCAGCGTTCTTGTTGTCTTCAGTATATGTGGGGGAGGGGAGAGGTGGTTTCATGATGCCACTGTCCTTTATTTTATACTCTCAATCCATGTCCCAGGGAAGATACTGACCCAGGCATGTTCTGGTGGGGCTTGCTGAGTCAGAGTTGAGCAATTCCCATTGTGTGGTGCTTGTGCAACTGTCTCTTACAAAATTGTAAATCCCTTTTTTACAATTCCCCTGCTGATTAATGATCATTTAACACCTATCTGGGTCACCTCTCTTTTAGTCACTGGAGAGCTAGTTGTGGGCGTCTCCCAAACTCACAGCATATTTCAATAACAGCCATACAGCACATCTCATAACTTCATCCACACTAACAATATACATATTTTGACAGAACAATGAATTTCAGCAGACCGTCGCCTTTCATGTGGTACCTTACAAGGCATGCTTTGTATGAAATATCACAACCACATACAAATAATAAATATGGGGGTTACAGGGTGCTACTTTGAGGTCCAGTGTGTCACAGTGACTTACTGCACTTTTGGGAGCTGACTTAAAATAGGAAAGTTTGGCCACCAATGCAGTGACTTTGGTCAGTCTCATCCTATGGATATTTGTCCCTATCCCCAAACTGCCACCAGGATGAATTCTTATTAATTTTATGTTAGCTACTAATAATGAAAATTATCTGTCGAGTGATGCCAGCATACAGCACTTTATGAACAGGGGCACTGGCAAGCATTGCTCAGGTGGCTCCAGGATTAGACCAGCAGGGGCAATGCAAGAGGTATTGACAGAGCTGGATAGGGGCTCAGGACAAGAATAGCAGGGAATGGGGTGAGAGGGGGGGCTGCAGATCTGGATTGAGGGGCATTCAGAGAGCTGTGCAGGGCCCAGGGCCAGAAGAACAGGAGGGCTGCAGATCTAGATAGGGGAGGGGGAAGGTCAGTGCTGGATGACAAGATGGCACTGCAGGCCCCCGGTGGGGATTTTAGACTAGAACCGCAGACTCCGTGGGTCAGATCTAAGATGCTTTGACCAAGTTTTGTCATTGGTCAGGTCTGGACCAGCAGGGCGTGCTGCAGTTCAGTATCAAGGTGCAATGGCTGAGCTCTGGGTTGGAAGTTTGCTCAGCTCCAGCCCATGGCAAGGCCAACACTGGCAAGCAGTTAGTGCCCGGTTCTGGATGTGAATGGGGAGATATGGATTCGTGCATGAGAGGAGAGGAAAATGTGTGTATTGATTCTGCAGAAAGCCTTGAGCGCTCATGTGCCCCAGCTTCCTAAGGGCAGCGGAACCTGAGCTGAGTCTAGGGAGCATTTCAGGTTCAGCACACACATCCTGTAGCTCCAGCACCATGCTCCTTAGCACAAGCTATGAGTCAGCAGATAAGGACCGGCTGCACGTGAGGAGGATCATCCTCAACCCACCTTCCAGATAAGCATCTCGCTCGCCTTGCCAGTGCTGCTGCACCTGATACCTTGACAGGCTCATCCATCAGCCAGCGGCAGGTACGGAGAGAAAATCCCTCTGGCCAAGGCAGGAGCAAGATCCCTGCCTGGTAACATCTCTTTATTTTAATAACTAGAACAGCAGCATCTAGACCCAATTCCCAAAGGGAGGTTGTATTTTCATGTCTAAGCTCAAGCCGGGCTCTATCTCTCTTCCAATCACACCCGGCCTCTCTCCCACTCACTGCGCTCTAGGAGAATCTTATTACCTCCTCCTCCTGTTTCTGTTTTAGCTAGGACCTCTCTTCAAGTCAATGAGGATCTGCCCTCTCCCTGGGAACCAAAGTCTCTCTCAGCTATGCTAAGTGCTGATTGCAAGAGAGTTTGCTCCCACTGCTGGGCTTTCATCCCCTTTCTGAGACTGGAGGAAACTCATCACGTGACTTAATGGGATTCTCTGCTTTGGTGGTGTGACCTGGCCCAGGTCACACAGCAGGTCAGTGGCAGAGCTGGGAGTAGAATTCAGGTCTCCTGAGTCCCCATCTCAAGCTCCAGCCACTAGGCTCGCTAGCACCTCACTGTGGAGAGCCAATGCAAGGGGATATTGTGGCTTTGCCAGTGTTCGATTGACAAAGACTTCTCCATTGTGCTACCATGGAATTCCAGCTCACGGAATTCATGGCCATCCAGAGGGCAGAATTTGTGGGGCGGGGAACAAAGTCCTTGCACATTACCAATTGGTAGAGATTTGTGCAGCTGATACACTGGCGCTGTTGGATAGTTTCTCGATTTGAGTCAGAGCCTGGCACAGGTTTGCTGTTTAGACAGCTCTGTTGAACATGTGAGTCCTAATGAATGCAGCATTTCTCAATCCATGACCATCCCCCAAGGGAAAAATAGCTTATTTGCTGTAGATATCGCAAATAGTGGAGTGCGAAAGAACCAGAACAGCACTGTACAGCAGTGAAAAGAAAATCACCTACTAGTTGAAACATCTAACGTGTGATGAGCAGAGCTGGGGGAAATTTTGTGGACAAATAGTTTATTCAACAACAACAACAAAAGCAGTTTCCATTGGAGCTATGGGTGAATTTTACATGAATAATTTTGTCCATTCATGAAACAGTCGGAGGAGGAGATGCAGCTGCTGCCACTGCTGCCCCCAACATTCTCCCCCCAAAATAGCCTTTAGCTGAGTTGTTAGGGCACTTAGCTTGGAGGCAGAAACAACACTGGTTCAAATCCCTGTTCTGGAACAGACCCAGAAATGGCCTTCTTTCAATTCACCAAAAATTCCAAATTCGGTTTGAACTGACCCATTTTTTTTAATCTATTGGAACTGCCTGTGAGCTGAAAAATCAGTTATTCGTCCAGCGTCAGGGCATGAGGCAAACTCCCCAGGCTGCTTTCCTAGCAATGCCACCTGTCTTAGTAGTCCCAGACTAGCCACTCTGTTATTCTGAAGGTGCTCAGATACCATGGAGATGGGAGCAGTGTAAGATCCTGAGTAGAACACCCTGATTTCGAAGAGGCCAGCTTACATCCTGCCAGCACCCCTTGCCCTGACATTACTGCAGGGCCCGTGTAACCAACGTAACGTTCTGCTCAGTGACAGTGTGCTAAACTGTGTTGTGACATGCTGCTGCAGCAAAAACATGTCCTGACATTAGCGACATAAACATAATGGCAGCCTGACCTATGTGTGTGTCCCATTGGAGAATCTGTCTGACATCCAGCCTTTCACACCCCTGCCAGCCGCAAGAGGCTTGTAAATCCCAGCTCAGGAGACGGCAGAGTCAGGCACGTGCTTCACCCGTGAGCTCAGACCCGAGCTCTGACTTGGATGTCAAGGTGGGGAGGGTGAGGGAAGGAAGTGGGGCAGGGCCTGAGGTAGGACAGCCTTTTGGAGAGGTGGGACGGATACTGTGGCTGGGAGAGTATTATTTTTAGCCATCCTTCCTGGGCACAAAGCCAGGCTCTGCATTTTAATAGAAAAAATATTTCTGAGAGTGAGACAAGTTAAAACCTGTAGGTATCAAAGTCGTATTAAAGAGGGAATGGATGGTTATTTCATTTGTGGAGCAGACCCAGAAATGGCCTTCTTTCAATTCACCAAAAATTCCAAATTCAGTTTGAACTGACCCATTTTTTTTAATCTATTGGAACTGCCTGTGAGCTGAAAAATCAGTTATTCGTCCAGCGTCAGGGCATGAGGCAAACTCCCCTTGTATATATGGTCTGACTCAAGCTGTGATGCAATTTTTAAAGAGGGCCCTGAAGTGCCATTAATATAATTTACCACCCAGGCGCAATGCCACAGGCGAGGGAATCTAGCCAGCAGAACACCCCCACTGCTGTTCCCCCACCTTGGCTCTGGGGGCGAGGCAGACAGGTGGGCAGCTTCTGGGTGGGGCTGCGATTGTCTGCTCTGCTTCCTGTTGCTCTGTGAATAATTCTAGTGGTGCGGTGCAGTCAGGGGATCACAATGGA